CTAGCAATCACAGCATTGTAAGAGGGGGACAGTTGAACCCGGAGGCTCCACCCCTGTTTAATGATGGACGATTTCTTTTCACAAAGATGGCCTCCTTTACTCCTCTCTCAAACCATCGTTCCTCTCTGTCCAGGATGTGAACATCTTCATCCCTGAAAGAGTGACCGCTGGCCTGGAGATGAGTGTAGACCGCAGAGTCCTGGCCTGATGATGTTGATCTTCTGTGCTGGGCCATCCTTTTGGCCAGTGGCTGTACTCATCTCTTTAGTTGGCAGCTCAGAACACCACATACAGAATACCATGGACTTTGTGGATAAGGTGAGGGATGTCATCATGGAGACTGATGAAACAATGGTCTCTTTTGATGTCACATCACTCTTTACATGCATTCCTGTTGATGCAGTAGAGGTGGTCAGTTTAAGATTAAAATCAGACACCACTCTGAGCAGCAGGACCACGCTTTCTACAGAACAATTGTGTCAACTCTTGAAACTGTGCCTGCAGTCAACCTACTTCACATATGGGGAGCAATATTATAGGCAGAAACATGGGTGTGCTATGGGGTCTCCAGTTTCTCCTATTGTTGCCAACCTGTACATGGAGGAGGTAGAAAAGAGAGCCTTGACGTCCTTTTCAGGGACACCACCAAGTCATTGGTTCAGGTATGTTGACGACACCTGGGTTAAAATTAAATCTCAGGAAGTCCAACATTTTACTGACCACATCAACTCTGTGGATAAATACATCAAGTTCACACGAGAAGATGAAAAAAATGGCAGGTTGGCTTTCTTGGACTGTGAGGTCTCAGTCTCTGATAGAGGACATTTGCAAACTGAGGTGTACCGCAAACCCACCCACACAGACCAGTATTTGCAGTTTGACTCCCATCACCCTTTGGAGCACAAGTTAGGAGTCATCAGGACTCTGTATCACAGAGCAGACAGCGTCCCCACTAACTCAGGAGCCAGGCAGAAGGAGAAATCCCACACAAGACAGGCTCTAGAGCTGGTGTGCCCAACCAGTCGCTTCTCACAGACATAGTCTCGCAAGTTTTGGGTGCGGTGACACAGCGCTCTCACGAGACTTGAGGCTCAGTAGTGGAGTAATGTCGGTGCGCAGAAAACATGGATGGAAAACTAGCGAACAAGCAAACGAAAACTTACTATTTTCACACAGAGTGGGAGGAGGAGTATTTTTTTGTTTATTCTAATTCGAAGTCTATTTGCCTCATCTGTAATTGGAGCGTTGCCTTACCCAAAAAGTGTAACTTGGAGCGGCATTTCAAGACGATGCACAAACGGTTTGAGACAGATTTCCCTCTTAAAAGTTCTTTACGGACTCAGAAAGTGCGGGAGCTAAAAAACAAGCTTGCAGCCCAGCAGTCAGTCTTCACTCGGCCCAGCACAAAAGGTAAAGCTGCTACGATAGCTTCCTACCGTGTTAGCCGCATCCTGGCTCAACATAAGAAGTCTTTCAGCGATGGACAAGTTATGAAAGAAGCGTTTATTGAGGCTGCAGATGTGCTTTTTCATGATTTTAAAAATAAAAGTGAGATCGTAGCTGCTATTAAAGACGTGCAGTTGTCCAGACAAACAGTGACACGGCGATGTGAGGGAATGGCTGTGGATGTGGAGGAGCAGCTAAAAAAGGACGTGGAACAATGTGAGTGTTTCTCTCTTCAGTTTGATGAGTCGACAGACATGGTGGATGTAGCCCAGCTGTGTATTTTTATCAGAATGGCCTTTGCAGACATGAGTGCAAAAGAGGAGCTGCTCACCATCTTGCCTTTGAAGGGACACACAAGAGGAGAAGATATTTTTAATGTGTTTATGGAGTTTGTTAATAAAAGCAACTTGCTCCTCTTTAAACTAATTTCTATAACAAGTGATGGCGCTCCAGCAATGACTGGTCACATCAGTGGATTTGTTGCACTCTGCAAGCAGAATGATGCTTTCCCAGACATTTTGCACTATCACTGCATCATCCACCAACAGGCCCTGTGTGGGAAGATTTTAAACATGAAGGAAGTGATGGATGTTGCCATGAAAACTGTGTGCTCTATAAGGGCCAGGAGTCTGCAGAGGAGGTTGTTCCGGGCTCACTTGGAGGAGGCAGGAGCAGACCACACAGACCTGCTGCTGCACATGGACGTCAGGTGGCTAAGCAGAGGTACATTTCTGGACAGATTCAGTGAGCTGTTGCCTGAGATCAGGGATTTTCTGAAGCTGTCAGATCATGGTGAACATTCAAAACTAGAGGACACCCAGTGGCTTTTGGATTTAGCCTTCCTCACAGATCTCACCAGCCTGCTCAATGAACTGAATTTGGAGCTTCAGGGAAAGGACAAAAACATAATCCACATGATCAGTTCTGTGAGCACCTTCAAAAGCAGGCTGCAACTGCTCACAAGTCGGCTGCAACGCAGGGACCTGCGAAACTTCCCACACATGGAGGCAGAGCTACAGCGCCAAGGGAAAGAGGTCCCACAACTGGACAGTGCACACTATTCTAAGCAGGTTCAGAGCATCTCAGCAGAATTTGAGAGACGATTTACTGACTTTTCCTCCATTGAGCCTGTTACCAGCTACATGTGTTATCCTTTTGGAAATGTTGATGTGGATGACATTGTGTCCAAATTGGTGTCCGTGTTTCAGCTGGACAGCTCTGGTGTTGAAAATGAGGTGTTGACTCTGCAAAATGACATTGGGATCAAATCCAGAGCATCACCTGGCGTGGATGGAGAGTTCTGGAGTCTGCTGTCAGAAGAAAAGTATCCTAACATCCGAAGATGTGCTTTGAACTTAACAGCACTTTTTGGATCTACCTACCTGTGTGAGTCTGCTTTTTCACACATGAAAATCATCAAGTCCAAAAACAGATCCACAATGAATGATGATCATCTGGAGACCTGCCTGCGCCTCGCAACCACCTCATACTGCCCAGCTTATGAGACCATGGCCTCCTCCTCTCAGTGTCAGAAGTCCCACTAAGGTAGAGACACATTTATTTTATACAGCTTGCATAAAAAGTTGTCTCCTATAGACACATCACGTTCTGTTTTATTTACTTTAAAGAAGTCAGGAGTAGGGATTGATGAAAAATTATGTTTGTTGATAATGAGACTGGACGAGTAGCTCTCGGCAAATTGACGACTTCAAAAGTAGCTCTTGGTTCAAAAAAGGTTGGGCACCCCTGCTCTAGAGCAATGTGGATATCCTAACTGGGCCTTCCTGAAAGCAGAGAAGAAACCCAAACAGGACTCCAGTCAGCGAACAGGTGAAAAGGAGGAACCCAGACCCAGACCAGTGGTCATTCCATATGTTGAGGGAGTATCAGAGAAACTGAGACGTTTATTTTCTAAACATAACGTCCCAGTGGCTTTTAAACCCAAAATACATTACGGCAAAGACTGGTTCATCCCAAAGATCCAGTCCCTCGGCAGAAACAGAATAATATTGTGTATGTTGTTCAGTGTCAGGAGGGTGATCAGTCTTACATCGGGGAATTAAAACAGCCACTGGCCAAAAGGATGGCCCAGCACAGAAGATCAACATCATCAGGCCAGGACTCTGCGGTCTTCACTCATCTCTAGGCCAGCGGTCACTCTTTCAGGGATGAAGATGTTCACATCCTGGACAGAGAGGAACGATGGTTTGAGAGAGGAGTAAAGGAGGCCATCTTTGTGAAAAGAAACCGTCCATCATTAAACAGGGGTGGAGCCTCCGGGTTCAACTGTCCCCCTCTTACAATGCTGTGATTGCTAGTATCACTCAGCCCTCTGTGAACAGTAAACAGCCATCAGTGTGCTAATGATCCATTGTTAGGCTGATGGTCCTTTTGAGCATGTGATCAGCTGGTTTTGGTTGTCAGCAGCAAACTGGTTGATCCACTCTGAGAAGGTGCTATTTAAGAGACTGAGCTGAATACAGCTCCTCAGACTGAGGAAGTCTCTTGGATGAGAGACGAAACATTTCTATATATTTTTGTTGATTTGCTTTGTTTTGTTTTTGTTTGAATGTCCAGAGGACCAGATTTAACTTTTTTAGATTTTTCTACCTGGATTATTGAGCATGCATCAGGTTATTGCTCTAACGTTTGTTATATTTTCAAAACTTAACCTAATATGAAATATACAGACTTCAGTCTTAACCATATTGATTCATATTTAGTAAATCGTTAACAAAATTTAAAAACCTGTGCAAGTTTGCACAAAAACCTCTTCTGAACTTCAACCTTTATTTAGACAGGTAAATCCCATTGAGCCTCGAGGACTCATTTACAAGAGAGACCTGATTTCAACAAAGAAAGATGACAACAATGGACAACAGCAACAACAATAA